AGAAAGTTCTGACACATCCAGTCATTGATTTGTTCAATGCACTTACTCAGTGTTTGAATTGGAGCATAGTCTCCTGGTGAAATTGTTACGTAAATGTGTGTGTCATCTGCATAGCTATGGTAACTTATTTTGTTGTTTTTCATTATCTGAGCCAGCGGTAGCATGTATATGTTAAAGAGAAGAGGCCCCAAGATGGAGCCTTGAGAAACCCCACATGTCATATTTGTCAACTCAGATGTGTATTTACCTATAGAAACAAAGTTGTTTCTGTCCTTTAAGTAGGATTCAAACCAATTTAGAACTGTTTACGAAAGTCCCACCCAGTTTTCCAGTCGGTCTAGTAATATGCTGTGGTCAACAGTGTCAAACACAGCACTGAGATCTAATAATACTAACACTGAAGTTCTGCCACTGTCTGTGTTTAAGTGGATGTCATTAAAGACCTTTACAAGAGCAGTCTCAGTGCTGTGGTTTGGACGAAAGCCTGACTGGAACACATCAAAACAGCTATTTAAATGCAAGAAATTACTCAACTGTTGAAAAACAACTTTTTCAATGATTTTACCTAGAAATGGGAGGTTTGATATGGGCCTGTAATTGTTCATTACTGAAGCATCTAGATTATTCTTTTTTAAGAGCGGTTTAATGACTGCAGTTTTCAGGGCCTGTGGAAAAATACCTGAGTGAAGAGATTTGTTTACTATATGAAGTAGATCTGAGGCCATGCAAGGCAAAACATCTTTAAAAGATCCTGTTGGAATAATATCAAGGCAGCAGGAGGAGGATTTCAGAAGTTGTATAATGTCCTCTAGGTTTTTATCATTAATCTGATGGAATTGTGTCATGATGTTTGAATTGATGTTAAGTGGACACAGAGACAAAACATTTGCTGTTCCTGATGCAGAGGCACTGACTGCTTGTCTGATTTTCTGAATTTTGTCAGTGAAAAAGGAGGCAAAATCATTGCACGCCCTGGTGGATAGAAATTCAGAGGCTACTGACACTGGGGGGTTAGTTAGTCTGTCGACGGTAGCAAACAAGGCACGTGCATTGTTTTTGTTTTTGGTAATGATGTCAGAGAAGAACGATTGTCGTGCGTTTTTCAATTCCAAATTATAAAGGCCAAGTCTCTCTTTATAGATTTCAAAGTGAACCTGGAGATTTGTTTTTCGCCACCTGCGTTCAGCTTTTCGACATTCTCTTTTTTCTGTTTTCACGCTCATGGCCTTTCTCCATGGAGATATTTTCTTGCCAGACACTTCCTTTACCTTAGTTGGAGCAATGGCATCTATAACATTTTTTATTTTTGAATTAAAATGATCTACTAGCTCATTTACTGAGATGTTAGCAGGGGCAAGTGTGGAAGAAAAATTCTGAGTAAACATTTCCCTAGTATTTTCAGTTAAATATCGCTTTGTGGTTACCTCTTTTTGAACATTTTTGTGAACAAAAATAGAGCTCTCAAAGAAAACACAGGAATGGTCAGAGAGTGCAACATCAGTCACCACAACCTTAGAGATATTCAGACCCTTTGAGATAATTAAGTCCAGAGTGTGCCCCTTATTGTGCGTGGGCTCCGTCACATGCTGAGTCAGTCCATAGCTATCAAGAACACAAAACAGTTCTTTAGCCCCTCTGTCCTGGGGGTTGTCAACATCGATGTTAAAATCACCAACAATGACTAGACGGTCAAAGTCAATACACACTATAGACAGCAGTTCAGTAAAGTCATCAAAAAAGCTTGCACAGTATTTGAGTGGTCTATAGATATTTAGGAACAGAGCTCGAGAGGAGCATTTCAGCTAAAGGGCCACATATTCAAAAGAATCAAAGTTTCCATACGATGTCTTCCTGCATTGAAGGGAATCATTGAACAGAATAGCAACTCCACCCCCTTTCTTATGCATTCTTTCCTGACTCATAAAACTAAAGTTGGGAGGGGTTGATTCGATAAGAACAGCTGCACTGTTATTTTGTTCAATCCAAGTTTCTGTTAAAAACATAAAATCGAGATTGTGCTCAGTGATAAAATCATTGATTAAAAATGTTTTTCCTGCCATAGACCTGACATTTAATAAAGCTAGTTTAAGTTTGTTAAACACACTATCAGTCATGTTTTTTGTAACAAGCTGTGGCTGACATGGAATCACTGCTAAATTAGATAAACTCACACAAACGTTTGAGCGCTTCCTGTATCTAAGATGATTCACCGCTCTTAATCTATTACCTATCAACACAGATATCGGCAAAGCTATAGGCAGGCAGGGCCCCGGCATGTCCTGGAAAGAGTTGAGAGTGCCATACGCCCTTGAGCCTGGACCCAGCAAATATCAGTTTGCAGCGTTTAGTACACACACATCCTTATCAGGCTTCGGAGACTGCAGATGCCCTCTCGAAGGGAGGGGGGGCGGCCGACGCAGGCACGGTGATGGAGACGTGGGAGATGGTGCGGGGGTAGAGGACATGCTGCCAGGGGGGGGAGGTGGTTGACGCAGGCACGGCGATGAAGAGACGGCGCGCGTCTGGACTATATGTTTGCTCGTTCAGGATGTACGAACATTGTCACAGATAGTTTTTTGATTAATGAGACATTGTCAATGTATCAAAAATGTTTCTTTTTTATAAAGAAATAAAAAGAGGAAAGAGTTTCCCCACACTGTATGAGCATAGCAGGAGTTTCCAGTTATTTGTGGCTTTCGGTTTTCAGCCTAAGGCCTCATAGTTTGCATATCAGAAATACTAAAGTCATGCGTACTCAGAACAAAAGAAAAATGTTTAAGAACATGAGAGTATTTAGAAAATCAACACAGTCTACCAAATTAACTATGCCATCATTTCGTACAAAACATATTTCCTGATCAGCAGTTCTTATTCACTTTTACAGGAGCATGTTGTATTTGCTGAAACGAGTAATGCTCTGGGAGGACATACATTTGAAAGCTTTCTATACACTCTTTGGCATTCATTGTATCCTGGTAGAGATAAACGGTTATGCCATCACTTACTGTACGGAGGCTCAGTCACTGGTACTTTTTCATTTACAAAGCCATGTTGGATAAACTACCATCTTATATCTGCTCCCTGATCTCTCTGCGAATTGAAAGTACTTATTGCCTGAGATCGCATGCTGTGGTTTTATTAAATGTGCCAAGTGCTAGGACTGTCTTAGGGAAGAAAGCTTTTAGATGTGCAGCTCCACTAACATGGAACAGTCTGCAAAAAGAATGGAAAATTACCAAGCTAGTACCACTACATGTTTTTAAAGCTCGGTTGGATGCTACAAAATCAGATGCTGTTGGTACCTGTACTTGTGGTTAAATATGTAAATTGTAATCCCTGTACATTTTGCTGTATGATGTCCTTTTGTTGTTCTGTTGTTTATGTCTTCTTGTGGAACCTACTGCTGCAGGTCTCCCTTGAAAAAGAGATCATTGATCTCAATGGGATTTTACCTGGATAAATAAAGGTTTTGAATTTAATTGAAACACAACAATTTTATTTGTATCTCTTTACAAATAAAATAGCCTACAAACTTAATTTAAACATATTCAACATATCAGAATATCTCTTAATAACATATGAGATCAGTCTGAGCTGTGGATGTGAGCTGCTACAAATAAAGATTCTAGGACATATAAAAGATATAACTCAAAAAGTAAATTATTTTTATATGATTACATTTTGTGGAAACATTACTTAGGAAATAAATAAATGTAAAGCTAATCTATATATGTATATTTATGTTTTTATTAACTTTATTTAACCAGGTAAATCCCATTGAAAGTAGCAAACCTCTTTTCCAAAGTAGCCCTTGTATCAATTCAAATGAATGTTTTTTGACCCAAGTAGAAAAATAAAGATAATGTTCCACTTTGTAAACACGGAAAATACAAAAGCGTCTCTTGTTTGGTGTTCTTACCTGTAACAAACATGGCCATCAGTGCCGCACAGACCCAGATCAACTTTGTCATTTTGCTCTCGAATCAAAACAATTTTTAAAGAATGAAGCAGATGTCAATGTAACAGAGACAGTCAAAGATCCAAAAGCGCAGGTGAGCTGCTGGACAGGGTGTCAGCTTTTATATCAACGGTTTGATATCAGGGGCTCAGAGAGACAATAACATGATGTTGACATTGATTTCAATCGTCAACCGCATGTGCATATTTTGATTACCTCTATCTTATCCTCTAAAAAACAGAGGTCTATTAAAGCGCCTAACAAAGAGAGATGAGATGATGACTCATTCCTGCCTCTGTGTGTGTGTACACATTTTATTTACACGTATGTTTGATCAGTTGTGAACTTCTGAGCAACAACACATGCATTTTCTAAAGCTTCAGACAACAAAGCTTCAGACAACAAAGCTTCAGTCTAAAATTATTCAACATATATTAGGATCTTTTGTAAAAGCAACGAGGGGACACTCCCTTCATGGAGCTAAAGAAGGATGGCATAATATGGTGATAGAAGATGCATTGTTCATTTCAAGGAAAAGTAAAACAAAATTATCTCAATTCAAATCTTAACTTTCAATTGTACAATAAAATTGAGGTTGAAATATAGATTGAGAATACAAATTTGACTTTTGACTGAAATTTCAGATCATGAGCATGATGAAAGGTTAACTGAAAAATTGGTTTTATCTTAATGCTTGGTCTTCTGAAGAATAATTCACCATTTTGAAACAGCATTAACTTACATCAAAGAAAGGGAGGAAATTCTTCAACAATTATATTTGTTTGAAGTCTTAAAGTTTACTTTCTTGCAGGTAGTCAATTGTGTGAAAAACTTGCATTTCCGGATGGACTTTAAATGTAGGTGGTGGATGGGATAGGTGGGAGATGTTGGAGCAATACTTGTTAGGAAAAAATGGAGGAAAAAGCTTGCTTCAGTTGTAACATTGTAAGTCTTGTATCTGCTTTTACTACCTTGTCTCATAGAAAGTGTGCTAGTATTACATGAGTCATTTGGGAGGTTTTGCTCCAAATAAACACAGATAAACAGAAATCAAAAAAACTTTATTGTTGGAATCACCAGTGGTGAGATTGCTTTAAGCACTAAATAAATCAAACACAATCCAGCCAATACAAAGGTCTCATGCATGTCTGATTATTTTAAATCAATTTAAGTATATGCAAATTAAGGAAAAGGCCTATTCAGTCCTGCCATGTGAAGAAATATGCAGCTACTATCCCTCCATCATATATCATCGGGACACATCATTAAAGCACCAAGAATAGTGCACCAACATGTTTTCTTCCTGCTACAGTGGTCTTTAAAGGCCCCACTGACTCCACACTGCCACCAGAGCAGCAGCCAGAGCGGCAGTGAGGGGCAGCGGGGGGGGCGGCCGCTGCGTTGCACAGGTTGTTGCTGCAGCAGGTCTCCGTGATGGTGTATTTCACGTTCAGGATGGACCCACTACTACTGTTGCTGCATTTTGAACGTTCTATGCAGCCACGCTCATGGATATCCAACAGGTCGGCACTAAATTCTGGAGGAAGCAAAGAGGAGAAACTTCTTAAAGAAGAGTTTATACGGGAATTAACACATATTGTGACAATTGTTTAGTTTTTTTAGCATATATTTTATTGGACCCATAGCAAAATATAGATATAATACAAATCTGCCCATTATTTAAGTTATTCAGATATGATACACAATAATTCACCTTTAAAATCCACACAATTATTTCTAATGGCTCCTGCTGATAATCTCTCCCTTTATATATTTGATCAATATCAGTTTTTCTCCCATTTAATTTATACATATTTTGTCGAATCACGTTGTTTTTCCTTAAGTAACCCAATTCCTATGTATTTTATTTTATTTGTTAATTCAAATACGGCTATATGAGAATTAATTCATTATGTCAGGTAGTTCTGTGATTCTTTTTTGCAGCTTTTAACAAGGAAGGCCTGTCAGTCAATGCTTCAGGTGACATTCTTAATCATATAACAGCAGAGAACAGATCAAAGTTCAGTGCAGTTTTTCCCCATCTAATGTTGTGGTTATGAGGCAAACACTGTGTGTGTTATTGGGCATTTTTTTTCATTGTAGAAAGATGATTAATGAGTCATTAGCTGTTCATCTTACTGGCAACTGCAACGAAGCATCTGTCCTGAGCTTTGGTGCAATTTACAGTTTTCTCGATCAAACAGGAGCCCAGGATGTTCAAATTACAGGTGTAACAGGAGAGCGCCTCAACTGTGGAAACAAAAAGCGAACAGGAAATAGGAAAAAGGAACGTTTTTAGATCTCAGAGTGTGAACCCTTTGTTATGTACTGAAGGAAAACAAGTTTAACCAAAGCCACATATATCTGACTCCATTCAGGCGAACCTTTATCAAACAAGCACTGGCTGTAATCACAAAGTACATATCGAGAGTCACTTTCATAACCTTGCAAGGTGCCTAAATCCAATCCAGGATACATGTGTATGACATTGACGTAGGTTTTAACATTTGAGCCAATCCACAAGGTTAAAGATTTGACATCTGCAAAATACAGTGAAAACTCTTACCTGTAACTAAGAGAGTGAATAATGCTGCACAGCTCCACAGTAGTTTGCTCATGGTGATGTTTTTAGATGATTCGGCAGGTAAAAAATGCCACAAGTTGGTCAGCCTCTTATCCTTAAGCACTTACTTTCAGAAGTAGTCACAGTCAACATCTTTATACATGGGGGAGTTATCAGTAATACTGTACGGATCAACAGTACTGATAAGAACCTTTGTGAGGGTTGAATGTAACAGGAATGAAGATAACAGAATCCTTTATTAGTAATGTATTACAATGGGGACATTCACAGTTTAAAAAAAGGTGCAACAACAAGAGGAAGTACAAAAGTATATTATTAAGTAAACAGTAGAGTGAAACCAAGTCAGAAAATACAGTAGACAGGCTGAACCCCATCCAAATTATTGCATATATAATTGCTGGTTGTGCAGTCTGACAGCAGCAAGAATGAAAGCCTTGCCATCATCCTCCTTTCTCCAATTACCTCCACTCAATGAAGTGCCTATCCGGGGACATAAAGCTGGCCTTATTTATCAATTCAATTTCTTTCAGCAGTCGAAATGTGACTTACGTGGCACATGTTATTAAAGATGGCTAATACTACAGTTTCTTTATTGAGAAGTCTATTTTGTTCTGTAGCTTCCATGTCATGTGTCAGTGAATGAATGCAGCATTGTATTACTGCGCTAGAAAAGAAAGACCCACATATTTTGTTCTATTGAGTGGATGGTAATATTCAAACAATCACTAGCCATTAATCTGGTGGACAGAAAGGTACATTTGTATACGTTACTCCATAATGAATCATTCATTGTGATGTTTTTTGTCCCTTTGCTACGTAAACATCCTGTATCATTTCCATGAATTGGATCCATTTATTCATTGCTTTAAACAAACTATATTGGAAGGTTAATTTTTTTAAGCTGATGTTGCTTTTAATATTATTGTTACTTTTCAACCATTCAAGTGGTATTTTTTGGGAATCAGTGAAGTAGAATATTGGAAGTAAAATAATATTGTGTATTCTGTGTTAAGTGTGAGTTTGAACGCGAATGGCCAGGCGTAATCTGCCTCTCGGCCAGCAGCGGTCTGACATTAAATGGATTATAAAATAAGAACAATAGCAGAGACAACAGATTTTCTTCAACAATTTTCTTTATTTTCACATCTTACTTGTCCAGTAAGACACAGATTAGTTAAAAGGATAAATAAAAAATGATTGAGAAAAAATAAGCAAAATAACAGCCTAGAAGATTTACAATCTCAATGTTTCCCTGAAACATCCCATTGATCAACTTCCATGATGTGGACACCTTAGTTTGAGATTTTATATAACTTGTCATCAAAACTAAACTCCCTGACATGACAAGACCTGAGTTATGAAAAATAAAGAGTGTCCAGGCATATGAGCATAAAGATAATCAATCACTCATATCCAAAGATATTGCTTTGAGTCATGTGAAAACCCAGAATGGTGTACTTTTGTACTAAAACATCTATATAAAATACATTTTAGGAGCAGCTGTTTGTGATTTTTAAAAATCATGTTAAAGAATGCTTCCCAGCATGGAGGCCATGGCGGCAACACCAATGACGGCGGTGAAGGTCATCTTGGTGGATGGGGCGCCGCTGGTCTTAATGGGGTTGCACTTGTCTGTTGAGCAACAGTCGACTTTGACTGAGTAGTTGACACCGGCCAAGGTACCGTTGGTGGTGATGTTGCAGCCGAGGGGCTCTTGACACCCCTGGGTGTTGAAGCCCACAGAGGTCAGTGCAGTGAAGGCTGAGGAGAAACGGTTGAGTGGTATTAATAAGAGTTACAGAGGTGGAAATGAACCTCTTATTTGATCAGACAATGTTTTCAGGTACAGGTAATAATTTGAGTGTTTATATGTTTAACTGCAATTTCTTTACTAGTATATCCATTGGAGAATGGGAACATTTATATATGTTGTATTACATTGACAGTTTTTAGTCGTAGCTGTAGCTTTATTTAACCATGTGAAGTAATTGGTAGTTTGTAAAGTAATGCCTTCCCCCACACTGCTTTTTTGTTGTACACTGTCTCATCCCTTCACTTGTTCATTTATTTTCAATTGATCTGAAACCAAAACCCCACAAACTGGAAATACAAGTTTCTTTGTTTCAAGACAATAAAAGTACTTCTCTACTTTCAGCAACTTCCAAACTAGCATGCAGGTTTTGTAGAATACGTAAAATAACATTGTTGACATAATGGAATTAAAACCCTATATTCACCCCCAAAAATGGATTAAGGAATCACTACTTTGAATAAGCTTCAAGGTAAAACATGTGTATATAATAACACTTGGGTGTGCCTGTTGATCTATGTGTCACAGTATTTGGGAGTGGTTTTAATTTAGTCATGTGTTTTTGTTGCATAATGTTTGAATGTAAAGGGTGTGCACATTAGGCAATTAGGAGTTGACTTACTGGCTCTTCCGGTGAAGCAGACGCTGGTGTTGGTTGTGCAAGTATCTGTGCTGCTGCTGAGGCAGTAGCCCAACAGACTATAACTGCATTTGTTACAGTCCAGGGATTCAGCTGAAACACAAAATAATATCATTTAAAGTTATTTCAGAACAGTTTGATTAAACAACTACCTGTGTCTCAAACTGAAAGAAATAAACAAAACACTGAACTTTCTTTTAACTGATTGAATGAAATCATATTAAATGGGGGACATTTGTTTAGACTTTTCTGAAATGTACCCATAATACACTTGTTTTCAAAGAGTGTATGTTTATCGGTTAGGTTTAAGTACAGGTTGGCTAACATTGTTTTGTGGAATTTGTGACAATTAAAAGACGTCAAACCCCGCCCCTTGTCAGGTTAATTGGAGAATTTAAATAGTCAAAGGGCTGTGATTTTTTAACTCAAAGAAAACAAATTGTTTGCGTTTGAGGTTACTATTCCTCGAAAATATTTGCCATCAATGCAATTTAATTAAGGCTAATGGGATGCTTAATGGATCTTCTCTCCTTCAAATAAATACTCCCTTTAAATATGTCATTTCAGTTTGATTTGTCCCAAGTAATTGTGTGGTCGGAAACATAACTGGTGAGATTTTTTCCAAACAGTTGTTTTGAGCAAATTTGGATGAATCAACCCCTTTAAAAAGTATTTCTCAGGAAACTTTGAAATGTACTAATTTTCACCGAAAACACACCACTGTCCCATCAGTTTGGGCAAAGGAAATTATTCCTAAATGTGCTAAACAAGCTGAATTCATCTGTGATATTTGTCTTGCTATAATCAACAATTGAGTGATAAAACATTAAATTAACAAATATGAAGAAAATGTGTCAAAATTCAGTAAAAGCTTATGAAAAAGGAGCGAAAAGTGGGAAATAGTTTTCTCGCCTTTTTAGTCTATCAAGTCTACCAAAACGTTTTCAAGATTTATTTTACCATACTTTGTTTGACATATCTAAAGCGCTAACTAATTAAATCTATTATTATTATATCTCTATTTCCAGTAATATATTTTGTGGTCAAATATTAATAGTTGTTAAAGCTTACCCAGCATGAAAAGTGCAACAACTGCAATGATTCCAATAACGATCTTTGCCATCTTGTTGTGTTGGTTTGTTCTTGGTTGCTGCTCGAAGAGAAAAAGAAAATCCTTCCTGTGATGCTGTGTGGTGTGAAGACTGATGAGCCTGATCGATGAGGCCAGATATTTATACAGTTCAGACACAGGTAGGGAGGTGACAAGGGTTTTTTCAGATCCTTTGTCCTCACCTTTGGGGAAGAGCCACCAGAGGAATGTGACAGATGATTGATTGTAATGAGCCATGAGCTGAACTGCCTAAACCAGTCAATCAAGTTAAATAATCAGTCAGTATCTGTGCATTGAATCACGAGATTGTATTTTCACAATGAGTGCTTTTTTGTTGCCATTTTAATTGATTAATTATCAGTAAAGAGTAAAGAATATATTCATATTGTTTATAACAGAAGTGAAAAACCTAGAAACACCCAGTTTAAGATTACATCTTTCCACTGTGCAGCCAAAACCTGAGAATATCTGTTGTTTGAGTTTATAAATAATTTCTCATTTATTATCAATTCACTAATTCAAAAATATGTGGAACAAGTTTTTTTATAAAAAAGATGTTGGTTTATGAAATATTTGTTATGAGTATGTTAACTTTGACTTTATTAAAGCTCCCAGATGCTAAATGTCAGACTGCATTAAAACATTGGGTAACAAAATGATGATGTACGGCTTAAAGCTCTTTGTTTGCGTCATTGCTTTAGATGTCCTCATGCAGCAAAAATGAATGTTGTGTGCTAACACCTGGAATTAGGAGCGATGACGATCTTCATTCCAGTCTCCGGTGTTCGGCGCTGAAAGCTGAAGAACCAGTCGGTCCTGCAGGGTGGCAACGAGCCGGTGATATTTACAAAGAAGAAACAAAATCACACCACAAGAGTTTTGTGTTTTTTCCCAATTCAGATATTTATTGACATCTTCAATGTTTATCTATATTAGCAATTTCGCCAAAATGTTCAGATGCTTTCGTGGAGAATAATGCCAAAAGTGTTGGTTAATTACATTTGATAACGATTTGTGTAAATAGAGTATATCTAAAAATCAGCTGTGACATAATTTGGAATGCTGCCATCTCGAATATATTTCAAAACCTGCAAACACTATCAGATGTAATCACATTCTTCTCATATACATTTTAAACCAGGAAAGATAACCGTTTACAAGTAAGAGTGGATTATAAACAAATATTTTAAAATGAAAAGAAAAAATGAAATCTTTTCAAAGACTCTACCAGACATAAGCCAAAAGATTTACATGATGTTAGAAACAGTTATAAACCAAAGGCCATCAATGAAGTGAATAGAAAAATAAATGTTCATAGAAGCTTTGAAATCCATATGTTTGCGATATTATGCATCTAAAATGATAATACAGTGGGTTAAAAGCAATAAAGTGAGGGAATTGTCCAACATTTAGTTTAATGCGATAATTCCTCTACTTGCATCGAGTTCGATGAGAAGAACAACTTTAATGTGTGTACTTTAGCAATACTGATCTTTTAAATCCAACTAATTTCACACAATCAAAACCCAAAAT